ACTCTTATCATATTACATATTTATATTAAATATTTAGCACTACTTAATTTCTTGCTAGTAGTATTAAAAGATAAGTTTAAAATATGAATTGGTCTAATTTACGTCTAACCGTAAAAGTTTGAATGTCTTGTCTTAAAATTTATGTGCCCTTCAATTCACAGACACTCTGGCAGTGTATTAAGCGGCAATGCATCATCAGATTTCCATTAAGTGGCACTGGCAAGACATGGGCCAAACAAAAGCATACCATAGTAGCAGATTCAATGCTGGAAGCATTATGCAATTAAAACAAATAAAAATTAACGAAGACGAGGCCATTACGTAGCTAAACAGTAGAACTGATTTCATTCTACTCATCCTTTCTTTGTGCATGAAAGGCAGAATTTTTGCTATGAACAGTCAAATTTTAAAAAAGCAGCTAAAGGCCAATCTAGTACTCTCAGGGCCATTTACTGGAATGTAAAAGGAATGTTTATACGAAAAATGATTCAATTAATTAAAGCTAAATGCTAATTGACTCTTCATTCATAACTGTAAGACTTTAAAATATTCCATTTCCATAAAAATAGATGTAAATGCGAGGGGACTTTTGTCGTCCAGGACACTCTTTTGATTCATTATGATATATTTCACACAATGCCGAGTACAACCATCCAGTATACGAACTAAGAAATTGGCATAAAGGCTGACCCTGCTTTGTCTCAGCGACTATCAGACTGGGATATTCTCCGTCGAGGTAGGCATTCAGGCTACGCCGGCTAGAGCCGACGCCAGCTCTAACAGGATGCGTTCTTCCGCTGCCGCGGGTAGCAACGCAGCCTTCTCCTTCGCTGATATAGCCTGAGCGTGTGGGTTTGCCCTGTTGCTGCCGGTCCGGGGGCAGAGGTTCGGCTCCAAGTAGTGCCGGACTAGTAGCAATCCTCGCCACCGATGCCTCTTTCAGCATCGTCGACGAGTTGGCGGCCATCAGATTGGCACACTGGCAAGGGCAGATGGGTCGGAGGGCAGCATTTGCAGTCTGGGTCGGTGCCTCGATGATGGTGACGCCGGGGGTGGCATCTTGGCCAGTTGGGGTAGCTACCATCTGGATGAGGTCAGATCGGCTGGACTCGGATTTCGGCTCGCTCAGACTGACGGTCGTGGCCGAGCTTTGAAGCGTCATTTCGTAGGCAGACGAATATGCCGAGGAGAGGCTATTCTCCTGCAACAAGACAACACGTTTACGGAGCAAAGTAAGCCAACAAAAGACATGAGTATGGGTAGTTTATGTCAACTGTCTACTATTTATTTGTAAGTAGTATTTCGAGGCTGTCAGTAAATTTCATGAATCCGAATTGC